GGGCTCCGAAGCGATCCTTGAGGAACGCCGGGAAATCCACGAAGGTCGGAGTCCGACCCTCACGAAGGGAGTAGGCATAGAAATCCTCCCAGGCCTCGAAAGGACCGCCACGCAGGCGCGTGGAGAGGTGACCCACCCACGTCTCGGGTGTGGCGCCCATGAGCTGGAGTGTGCGGGTGGCAGACTGCAGCCACCGAGACACGCGTATGCCTGTACCGTCATACAAGGCAATGTCCGAGAAGCGGATGAGTGGTGCGCCACCGTTCTGGCGGCGAGGGGATCGAGGAGTGGAGGCCTGTGCCACGACTGAGTAAGTCGGGCCATGTCCTGGAGAAAGGGGCGCAGCTGACTGTGCGCCCGGGCCGCATGGGGGAGCGGCAGGCTGCGAGGGTGCTGCAGTAGAAGAGGTCGCAGCAACCGCGGGAGTAGGAAGAAGATAGGAAGGAGTTGTATAGGGTGCAGGGCGCGGAAAGCGAGCCTGCATGGGAGGAAGGGTAGAGGAGGTAGGGGGTGCGCCCGAAGGCGCGGCCACCTGTGAGGGTGGGGGTGGTTGAAGGCGTAAGAAGGCGAGGTTGGCCCGGAGCTGGGCAATCTCGTCCTTGAGACCTCGAACGTAGGTCGTGCGAGGGGTAGCAGGGGAGGAGTGGAGGAAGTGGATGCACAAGCGGCGCGGGGCATCCCAGAGGGGGGAGAGCTAGGTGGCGCTGCGGTCGTGCGAAGGGGAGGGAGGAGCGAGGCACCCGGAAACGTTGAGACCATGGTAACGGGTTGTGGTCCCGTTGCCGTCGTAGCCGGAATCTGGGCCGGTGCGCCCGTAGACTGAGGAAGGGCCTGACTCGTGGCGGCCGTCGAGCTAGGGGCGTGGACGGTCACCAAAATGGTCGGGTCGGGGGCGGCAGAGGAGGAAACTCCGTCGTGGCCACCCTGTCGGAGAACTGGGGACCCGGACTGAGATCCAGGAGAAGAGAGAGGATGAGGAGAGGAAGGACGACCAGCGTCCTGGAGTTGCTGCACGCCGGCGGCAAGGGTCGCCACCTGCGCCTGTAAGGGCCTGAGGGTCGCGAGTTGCGCCTGGATGGGCGCAACGAGGGAGGTGAGGAGGGTGTGTAGATCCCCCTGGGGCTGATGGCTCTGGTCCGCCGGCACGGGTGTGGAGCCCGATGCCGCGGTCATCGCCGTGTCGACAGCGTGTGACGCACCGTCGGCCATGGGGAGATGACGGACCGGACTGGAGGGGGCCAGAAGAGGTCTGCGTGAGCGGAGGGCGTAGGGGGAAGTCCGCGGTAGAAAGCGGTGAACGGCGCTAGCAAGGCTAGCACGGGCGCCGTCAAAGGGGGAGGGGTGGTTCGGGTCCAGGGTGCCCGAAGAGGACAAGGAAGTAGGGGGGTTTTGAGGAACCCTAGATCCTACAAAACCCCTAAGAAAACCCTAACCGAGGTTTAAGGCTAGGGTAGGGTACCGGTGACTTAATCAAGAAAGTAAAATAGCAAGCATAGGGGGGGAGACGGGAGAAAAATAAATAAACAGCGAGATTTCGAGAGGAAATAAAATAAATAAGAAAATAAATAAATAATAAATAATAAAAATAATTAAAAAAATAAGTAAAAAGATGTGAAGAGAAACAATATTTATTTTTTTTGAAATTTTCGGCAGCATTTCCCTACCCCCCACGGGGTCAAGAATGTGCCAAGGGAAAAGGAGAGACCGAGGTGTGCACA